ATCTTACCCACGATCACTCAAGTGATAGCATACAAAACCTATTATTATCATTTTTGTAATTTTGTCTGTTCCTAGGGAGAAAAATGAAAATAGAAGTCCCTTTAGCTAGCAAACTTATGTCCCTTCCTTTATGTTCAAACTTATGTCCCTGGAAAGGAGCAAAATGTATATTGGGAAAATTCTCAACTAAACTCTGGAATATTTAGGGCATGCGATGTTATGTAGAATTTAGATTATGAGCATCTTTAAATGATAGTTTTAAGTATTTCTTATACCTCAGTATCCATCTGGTTTAGTATTCTACAGGAAAATTTTCACCTACACTCATACTTCATATGTTACAGATGGCAAATTTGGGTGGAAAACTCAGGACATATTAAATATTTATAATGCCTTAACTTCCCAAAGCTTTGTAACATTTTTACTTCATTGACTCCCTTTGACAGTCCTGTGAAGTTGTAGCATGTCTTGTTTCCCACACCTGACAGGAAATGAAGGTGTGAAGTCATGCATACAATGATTAATTTTATGCAGTTAATAAGATGCTGATTCAAGGCTAGAAGGTAAGTCTCTTCATTTCTAGTTTTATGATACTTTAACTAGTTCATTTACATTGAATTTATAAGGGCAACATCTTGGCTAGTAAGAGTTGCTCTGGTATCTTCCATTAACATAACTATTATAAAGAGAAAAATGTTTTAGAGCTGAATATGCCATTTCTCTGGAATGAGCAGACCCTCCTCTGGCTGTAATTAAACCCACACATTATAGGTTTCCAAGGCATTGAGAATTCTTCTCAAATCAAAAAGGCTCAACAATCCAGGAAAGAACAATTTTAATTGATATTTTTATTCACTTAACAGAAACATTCACTTATCAGATGTCACCGAAGTGCAATTTACAGGACTTAGAGGCAAATTAACATATGTAAATTCCTATTGTAAGGTTTTGTGTTTTTTTTTTTTACAAATATTACAAATGTACATCCATTGGTACAATATTGCCATTCAATCATGCTTTTTATGTATATACCTTCAATTAAGAATTACTATTTATTAAGTTCACTTTGCTTAAAAAATGCTGAAAATTAAGTGGGCACTGCTGGGAAAGATTTCATTTTTACTTATGCATGTACTGCAGAATGATAGAAATCTAGTGCCTTGTGAAAAGAGGCAATAGAATCCAGATAATTTTATGTTTATTTTTAAAGGGTACTTCATCTCTCCAACTTTGAATTCAAAATGATGAGTTGGGGGGAATAAGGTACTTCCTTCCCCAGAGTTTGATACAGTACACATTTCCCTGAAGGGATGATGTTGTTTGGTCTAAATTTCTAGAAATGCATCCTCTGTGTTCTTTTTGGTGGGAGGTCGGATTGGATGGAAATCAGGAGTCCAAAAAGACCATCAGAAATCCCTGTAGCCAAGGTGTCACTGGAGCACTCAGGGGCATCCTCACCTTGAGCACCAACCTGTTGCATAGATCAGCTCAGGGGCAGATGCATGCCTGAAACTTCATTCCTCTCTGTTACATCAGGAAATCAAAACAAAAGGGGAAAAAGTTCAGGGCTAGGGAACATCAGACAATAAGAAGTGTAAGAGGGAGGCTAGGGAGAGTAACAGCTGAGAAAGAAACCCAAAGAGGTAGAATTGGTGGAAAAATGAGCAAAGAGTGTGGCGATGGTCACCTCTGTAGAGCTGAGAGGTGGGAGAAACCGTGTGGGAACAAAGCTCTGATTATTCTCCAAGGCTGTATCTCTGGTGGTCTGCGTGGATGGTCTCTTTGTCTCTGCTTGTTCTCGCCATCTTTTACTTTTTCTGATTCAGAATTTATGAAAGAAGTTTAGAGGCGCCCAAATCCCAGAGCACCCAGAAATAGCCGCGCTCTAGCGGTCAACAAGAGTCAGAACCAAGGACAGCGACACGCGCGGTCTCCATTTCTGCATCCTCCTCCTTGTCCCCTGCCCATTCGCCCCCACACTGCCTGTGCGAGACACAAACTTCCTGCAGGAAGGACCTCGGGGGCGGGGTGGGTTTGTCCAGCTAGAAGCTACTCCACGGACCTTTCCTGTAGCACAGAGCTTTTAATTCTCCGCTCCAACCATGAACTCTGCAGAAACTCAAAGTGGGGATGGTGCTGCCACACGTGTAGGACAGTGGATTTCCTACTCCTGGACTTAGACTATGGATTCTGCAAGCTGTATGACAGAATGGTGATGGAGAAGCCAGCGAAGGTACATCAGTTTTGCTGAGTGCTGAAAGAGGTGCTATAGCAATAAAATGGTAGTACATAAAAAGATAGACTTTTTTCTAACATCCTTTTGGTCACTGTTAGAAAGCGATACTTATTTTATTTTTGTCCAATTAGATTGTTTCATTAGATGGCTTCTTAAAAAACAAGCATTTAAGTTTCCCTAAATTAAAAATTCTTACTCTATTTAAGCCTCAATTGTCTTTTTAATATTTTTAAACAAGGTACTATAGAGTCATCTTGAAATTTATAATCTAAAAATAGGATTTTATCAAAATACTCTAACTATTCTACTCTGGGCATTGATATACTATATATTTACTGCTTATGGCTCTCCAGATATGGTAAACACTGTACTAAAAAAATTTAATTTTACTGATAAGAACAATTTCCTGTGAAAAAGAAATTGTATGGAAAAAATATGAACTATGTATTTGTTTGAAAAACAACTCAGCTTAACATTTCTGGGAAACCACAAGGCATCACAAAATCAGTAGTGGTGTGAGAGATATATACAGATTTAAGGAGAATCACAGGAATAAAAAAGGGAACAGTAGTTGTAGACTCACAAATCCTTTTGTTGGTGAAAACAAAACCCAAGGAAATCCTAAATTGAACAATTTGATGTTATACATTGCTGTGAAACCTTGTGCTGGAGAAGGACGAGCAGAACCTGTACGGCCTCTTGGCCTTTTGCCCTGGGACCAGTCCTGCAAAAAGGCTCACAAATGATCAGACACTGACTTTTTGACTAAGAACCAGGCAGGAAACCTTAAGTTGCTTAACCCCCCAGTAGGAAAGCAATGTGTGTTTTGAAGGCAGATAAGCACGATGCTGATTTTATTTGGACTTTAGTAGTAGAGCTAAATAGGTATGAATACACAATACAGAAAAACTGAAAGTTAATGAGTTTGAGCTATTTTGTAATATGAAGCACAAAGGATTACGGGGGTGGTAGTTTTGAGGCAAATCAGATGGATGGGGGGTAGTAAGGTAATGTAGGTGCCTGCGCATTCTTTGATTTTATGTTTTGTTCATCTTTATTTTGTTTTGCCCAGTTCTGTTTTTTCACAGCGATTAAAAGTTACACCCCAGCTCTTTGTGTTTTGTTCTGCTTAAAGAAATCTCCCTTGGGGAGGTATGTGTGAGCTGCTTTTAAGAATAATTCAGCAGTCAAAAAAGGCAAGGTTGACCTGGCCTCAAAGTAGTGTTGGGATGTTCTTAAACACTGACGTGAGAAGGAGATACCCAGGCTTCCACTATCAGTCCTCTTGTCTTGGGAGTAACATGATTTGTCCCGTCTAGCTGCACCAGACACTGCGTCAGAATCCTGCAACTGGCCACTTCTAAGGGGTCAGGCGTCTGCAGTCAGGAGCAGCACATATATAACACCATCTGGTTATGGGGTGCAGTCTTAATTTGGCTTCCTGCTTGCTTTAGAGAATAAATGCATCGAGTCCTTTCATTCTTCCTCTTAATTCCCCTTCAGTCCCCCACTCCATGAAGACTGTCTTTCCTTAGCCCTTGGCTTCCCAGCATACTGCGCTTCACAGCTTGGCTCAATACTTTTTGTCCTTTCACTGTCTGATCCTGAGATCTTCCACATGCCCATTCCCCTTTTGATCTCACATCAGATATGTCCTTGGAAAAGTCCCAGTTTCTCAAACTTACTTTTGCCTGTGTGGAAAACTCTTCTCTTGCTACAGTGCTTTGCAAAGCCTTCATATCTCCTTCCAGGGCATCTCATACGGACTTACTAAGTCACTCTCCATGTTAGTGCTAAGGGGTAGAATGGAATCAGTGGGTGGCTTTCCTCACAAGTAGATATTTATGTTTTAATTTGGTCTGGCTTATTTTTGGAGACCCAATGCCTAGCCAAAGTGAGTCAGGGTCACACAGCTTCAATTGAGCTATGTAAAGATGTTCATTATTGGGAAAGTAGTTGCTTTCTATGTCCCTTGAATAAGATCATATGAGGAGCTCTAGCTGAGCCCTTCTGGGGACACCACACCTGCCTCTTTCCACCATAATTAATTCTCTGCTACTGCTTCTAATCTTCTTATTCTACAAAGAACATTGTTTGGAGCATAGTGATGTGACTCATTCTCCAAGCAACAGCTCAGGATATCAGTAATTCGAGGTTAGGGTCTTAGATTTGAACCAGAAACCAACTATACCTCTAGACTTTTAGAGACTGGCTCTAGATTTCCGCTGGTTGAGTCAATATCTAAGCCACAATTGGCTCTCAAGGTTTTGTGGTTTTTCTAAGGTTTCTTTCAGAAATGGATACAAATTGGTTCTTTGATCTTAGTCTTTACATGGAAGCAGGATTTCTTTTTCTTCGATTTCTATTTTTAATGAAATTTCTTATTATGAATCATCTAGATGCAAATCATGCTCATATCTTTCAAAACTTTATCTTAAGGAAGTTGTCTACTACAGTGCCCATTTCCTTTTCTAAAAGGACTTTAGTGATAAATTCGACCTTGTGTCAAGTGCCAAGAAAAGTTTCTATTTTCATACTAATATCTCTACTTCCTGTCTCTTGTCTCAAATAGCTACAACTCTGTCTCCTTTTTTGCCTCACTGTTGTGATATTTGCCACTTATACTAGACTCTATATAGCACGATGTAATTCTTGCATTCCTGTAGGGCAGTCACCTGGAATTCTAACTGGGAAGCTATGCTCTGGAGATGACTACTGCTATGTGTGCTTATTTAACATAATGTAATTGCAGATAGTATTTCTTTTAGTGGGAAAAACTAGAGACCTGGCATGATGTATTCTCAGCGGTAAAATGAAAATAATTCAAGGAACACACGTTGATAAAATATATATTAAAGGTATACCTCTCCCTGGCTTGAATCTAGCACCTCTCAGGACTAGTGCTGTGGACTAAATTCTAAATGTCATGTGTCCAGCTGTGGACTTGGTCTGATGCTTGTTCTAAACGCCTGCCTATTGCATTTTGTAAGTTAGTTCTTTAGTTATGTAAGATGGTGGTTAGAAAACTTAAAATAAAACCTCAGACATAAAGATCATTTTGAATGTGGGATTTTTGGCTGCTTGTTTTCTTATAAATATTTAGTTAAAGAATCAGAATTTGGTGTAACAGTTTCCTTATGACCTGGCAGGGAGGTGGTAGGTCAGTGGCTAAACTTTATATAACTCAAAATTCAATGCCTATCATTATCTACTGAAAGGAATGAAATGTTATGTTTGAATAGGCATGTGCTGGTTTGCAACGCTCACATAGTAGGAGTTTTAGAAATGGTTTTCTTATATCGTAGATTATAACTCAGTGGTGCCGTGGGCAACTATTCCTTTGTGTTTCAAGAATGGTTTTCATTTATCTGGTCTTATTTTAGTTGTTCTTTAGTTTTGTTCATCTCAAATCCTCTTTGAAAGAAGATGGAGAAAGACATCTAGATAAATAATGAAAAGAATAGAGCATTCCTGTTGGTTTCTTTGGGGGGAGCCCATGACTTTTCTTTTTCACTTGTGGCATATCTACAAGCATCACATAAACTTGTGCTAGTGACACCCAAACCCATCGTTAGAGAGGTTTATGGTAAGAGAGAGAAGCCAGGGGATGGTGCTGGGGCCCGTTTATAACTGGCCACACTTCAGTACCACTTGTAAAGGCTGAAACTCAGTTCCCTTCACTGAAATAGAAGCTTTTCCTTTGACACCACCAAGAAGAGATGGAACTAATACAATGGCACTTGTACCTCTAGGTATGGTGGATGGGGTTCTTAGGAGTAGCCACTTGGGAAAAAGCAACATGTCTTGAATTCAAATCTAGGTACTCATCCACACACGGAACTTGTGTGCTTCTGGAACACTGAAGGAAAATGAATTCTGCAAAACAGTGGACACGCCATGTTGCTCCACACGCATGACTCCATCCTCTTCAGGTGTTTCGCTGTGGTCTGATAGCAAAGGAGTCTAATGGTTTAGAGAGTTAGTAGAAACTGATCTTGCTCTGGTGGTTTCCTCACCCAGGTGCCCAGGCCGGCCTTCTGAAAAGCCTTGAACAGCTGCTGTTTAACAGACTGGTAAGTGTGCGCCCCCAGTTTGGCCTCACAGTACATGGATGGTGTGTCTCCATGAATTGGAATCCGTGTGCTCAGCTGTGGACAGGAGAGGGAGAGAGAGAGAGAGAGAGAGAGAGAGAGAGAGAGAGAGAGAGAGAATATCAATTGCCAGCAGAAATAGGAGCCTCCACCAGAGTTTTTACATACAGAACACCAACTCTGGGCTCAGCCTTCACTTTTTCTTTAAAACAAAAGAGCAATCTTATAAAGAGCAACAGGTTCTATCATGTGGTTCTATGGGACACCCAGTTATTAAGGGAATTCTGCGAGGGTTCTAACATGAATAGAGGAGGAGTCACGTCTAAGAGACTCAGAGGAAATCTTGCTTCATTAGAAGTGGGAAAGACTAATGAGAATATGACTGTTTTTTTTTCTTTCTGGAGAGGATTAGGGGCTTGAAGTGGGTAGCGAATTTATTGGTACTTTTTAGGTATACAGTACAGTTACATTCATCATTGGGATCTTGTACCTTTATGTGATATATCTTGGCTCTTATTTTTTCCCCATTCCCCTGCCTTCCCTTCACCCCCTCCACCCTTCCCTATTTACAAAGACTTTGTTTCCAGTTTTTCTTTTCTGTGTATACCTTTCTAATGATACCTCGGGTGAAGTAGTTGGCATGCTATTTAGCTATGTAGCTACATTAGGTTTTCACCAAGAAACTCCTTTGTTACTTGATTTCTTAGAGCCACACTTCCTGAACTCTAATGCTGCTGGTCTGGGGACCCAGCACTTGGGTAGCAGTGTCTTAAGTTTACAAGGGAAATGCTACTGGCTTGGGCTGTGCTGTGTGTGTGTGTGTGTGTGTGTGTGTGTGTGTGTGTGTGTGTGAGCACAGTGGTAATTGGATTTTGCAAGCTGCAGTACCCTCATCACAGACCTAAAGATGGCCCACACCCGTGAGCTTGTTCAGGGCTTCAGTCTGAGTCCAGCTGCAGCCATTTTCTCCCTAGCAAAGACAGGTGCCACCTACCCTACCATACAGCTGTGCCCACCGGGCAGAGAACACGTGCTTGCAGAGCCTGGATGAACCCCCGCAGTTCCTCTTCCCGGTTGTGGCATTAATAACCTCCAGGTCTGCGTTGCCCACAACCCAGTTCACACTGAAGTGGGGAGACTTTCCTGGCTGCCGTGCCTCAGCATTACTCACTCCTGTCAAGAGAGAAATAGGAAGCAGCCAAGCATTAATATTCCTGGCCCCAAACAGGGCTCCCATGAGAGCAGATAATGGGAAAAGAGCCTGTGCTGGCACTGCTATGACATACGCTTGTACACATTGTCCTGCTTTTCCTTTTTAAAGCGTGGTCCGCTCCTCTTGGGGTCATCATTTTACTCATAGGGATGGAGGTTGAAAATCCAGCCTGACCCCAGTGACAGCCTCCTGCTAAAAGCCATCGCTGTACCTGTTTTTAACCTTCTAATTTAAAGGATTTTGTGGGTCATCGTGTAGTGATCAGTTTGGCTCAGATTTTTTCCCTACTATAAATATTTGTTGAGTGATTTAATAGACAAACAGAGCCATATAAGAGCAATCTAGAATGTGGGCACCACCTGCATGCCCAGCCCTGTTCAAGGCAAATAACAGGGGTGGTAAATAGTAATTTAGTTTATGAAAAAAAAACCTCATATACGTGAAAGGGATATTTATGTTAGACAATCAAGTAATCTTACTTAGAAACAGCAGTGGTATAAAATTTGCAAGATTTTGGCAAATATGAAAATGTGGGGCATCTTGTTTGGAAGTTATTAATAATCTGAAGATGACAACAGAGCATCAAATCAAACCTGGGGCTTCCCAAACTCAAGTTGTTGTGTGACTGGGTCAGATGTCCCTGAAGTTGGTTCTTCCCAGAAAGCATCTAGACAGTCAGGGAAGTCTTTGTTTCATATTGTGTCTCCTTTGTCAGATTGTATGCTCTGGCTTTTAATTGGGGCAATCCAGTCCCTACGACTCTAGCTTCTTCATGCCGCAGAGCAGAGGGAGAAGGTGGAGGGTTTCCGCTCTGAGGTGACGACTGCTTCGTCATGTGGGGACTGGCCTTGCTCTCCAGCTTTTAACTTCAACCCCAGCCTCAGCTCCTTCTCAGCCACCTTTCCTGCTCTTCCTTCTGCCGGGAACTTTCTGGAGTTGCTAGGCTGGGATCCCTGGTAACATGCAAGGAGTACTTGCCAGGAGACTCTGTCTTGTGAAACCATCCTGAGGATTCCAACACGTGCAAGATTCTGGTGCTGATTACCTTCCCAGTGTGTTGTCTTTCTGCTTCCCTTCTTGAAGGTTATGCTTGCCACCCTGTGAGTTTTGGGGAGGTAGTGACAGCATGAAGCCATGGTGCTCTCGGTGACCACAGCCAGATGGTTTCTCCTTTCTGGACTTCTTCGTGACAACTCCATGTGCGGCAGTTGTGACCTCCAAAGTTCTAGGGAAAGTGCCATAGGGACAAGTCTCTGCTCAGAGTCTCATGCTTCACCACAAGAGGAAGCAGATGAGAAATTTAGCCTCCAGTCTGCTCACTTTGATGATATTACTGGACATTCAGTTTATAACCCAGAAACCATCTTTAGATCCCCAACAGTGCTTTTTGAATCTTGCACCCCTCATGGCTCCTGTAGTGTCTCTTGTGTGACACTTTTCCTACCCCCAGCCCAGCCAGACCTTTCTTGCCTCTAGTCTGGCGCCAACTTTTGAAGGAAAGCGCTGTCCTTCCAAAGCCCTGCCTGCCTCTGCCTGCAACTTTTTGTTCTCTTTTCTAGCCATGGACTTTTCTCAGGCCTGGGCCATGCACTGTGCAACAGATTGGAACGTGAGGGGAAACACTAGTGCTTGGGGCAGGCACACTGCCTTAAGGTCATTCAGGGGTCACAGTGATGGCTGGTGTAGAAGTCCAGGGATCAGAAAGATTTCCAGCTGCAAAGCTCTGGCTGGATGAACACAATGAGAGCTTTGAGACTACCACAGACTCCCTGTGAGAGTGCTGTCCCCATGTTGAGTGGATCTATGATCCCATCCTAGAGGCAGCCTTCATTTAAATTTAGAGGAAGACACTCAACTCTGAGCTGCAAAGCCATAGCCCTCATAAACCTCCCAGCTTTACCCCTGATCCAAGGTGTTCTTGAACAGGACTAAAGCCCACCTTCTGAGCACACCTGCTGCCTGAGTTTGCTGTCGTCCACCTACGCACCCTGGCTTCCAGACTTAAGGTCACCTTGTGACCTTCCTCTGGTCACAGATGGGCAGATGTTGGACGTTCAGGTTCATTCCCTAGAAGAGATTCATTGTAGCAGTTGCCCATACCCGAGAGCTGGATGGAGGGGACAGACTGGCCCATTGGCAGCAATGGGCTGCCCTCCTGGGCAGGGGCTGCCTTGGCAGGAGAAGGCAGCAGCTCAGGTCATGGATGACTGGGTACAAATAGAGGCGGCCCCTGCTCCAGATCTGCACGCGGCCACGCTCAGCCTTGGGCCATCCTCCTCGGCCTCCCTCTCCCTTCTAGTCCCTACAGTGGTCTGGACTGACCACTGAGGCACAGGGCTTTTCCAAAGTCCTACACTCTAAACTCGGGGGGAGCCCTGCAGTGCCTGTTGTCCACACAGGGCCTTCGTGTCCCTCACACACTGGCCGCCTTTCTGCTCTCTTCTCATCACCTCTTCGCTGTGGAAAGTGTTTTCCCTTTGCTGTTGGCTCTCAGCACGCAGGCACCGGCCCTAGAGCTGGCTTGGCTGCATCCTCACTGGGTTCTTCTCCCCAGCCCCTGGACTGCTGGCCTTTCCAGGGCCCAGGTGGTGCCAGGACAGCGGCCATGAGGATGCTCCTATCAACCTGCACGGCCTCTGCTCTACCCACGTGAGATGCAGCAAAGGGAGCAGTACAGGTGGCGTAGCCAAGGGCAGCTGTGTGTGTGGGCCTGGGGCATTCACCTCGTCCTGCAGACAAGACCGGAGACTCAGGAGTCTGGAAACTTGAGGTCTCATCTTTGTCCTGGGACCTTGTCACACTCCATTCTGTCTCTTCCCTTGCTGACAGTGGTAACTTTGCTTCACAAGGTGATGTGAAGATCAAATAAGACAGATAAGAGCACTTTTAAAGCGTCAGTGTTAAGGTTATTGTTCTTTCCAGCTGGAGGAAGATTTAAAGGTCAACTATAGTCTGTATAGTGCTATCTAAGTCACACAGATCAAAAATGCTCCAATTATGTTACAGAAAATATTATCAATTCAGTTATAAATCACCCAACGGTTCCAAAAATGGAGCAACAAACTAAGTCAGGATTGTTTTTACACGAAAGACTTTTTAAATTTATATATTTATTCAATATATGCACTCAATACTTCTGTTAGAGACATTACTGTATGCTTATACTCAGCCTGTAGTTTAAGGATTATCTTCCTTTGCCCTTTGCTTGCAAACACATACACAAGCACATGCACAGGAAAAAGCAAATGCACGCACATGCACGTGTGCATACATTCACACAAACCTTCCCAAAACTACCTGGAAAAATAGTGATCTATTTCTAGTCCCCCACCCATAAAAAAATAAACGTACCATAAAGAGATGGCCCTGGGAATGTTTACTAAATGTTCACACCAGAAGTACAGTTTTTGACACCGCTGTAATTAACGATGGCCATGATTGTACCCAAGGAGGCAGAGCCACTGTGCTCTGTCAGACTCACTTGGGTCTAATACATACATTTGCCAATGTACACACAATTACCTCACAGCACACTCATATCAGTCTAGCACCATCTTCCCTTTCTGCAGGACAAACAGTGAATAGTGTGTAGCAAGAAAGTAGTCTCTTGAACTCTGATGGGGAGAAGAACGTCAGTTTTCTTCTTTCTGTTTTTTTTTGGGGGGGTCAGTCCTGAATGGGGATTGAACCCAGGGCTTCAACACTGAGCTATATCGCTCAGCCCTTTAAAAAATTTTAATTTTTTTCCTCATTGAGTTTATTGGTACTTTTTAGGTACACAGTACAGTTACATTTATCATTGGGATCTTGTACCCTTACATGACAGATCTTGGTTCTCATTTTTTTCCCTTGTCCCTGCCCTCCCTTCACCCTAAAAATTTTTAATTTTGAGACAGGGTCTCACTAGGTTGCTAGGTTGCCTGGGCTGAACTTGAACTTGTGATCCTCCTGCATCAGCCTCCCAGAGTGCTACAGGCATCACTGCCACTTCCAGCTAGAAACATTAGTTTTATCACTGAAGGAGAAGGCCTTCTGGACTTGGGTGTCAAATTTCTGAGGACAGCCGTCATTATCCACTTGTTATAGAAACATCTCTTGACAACCTATGCCACTTGAATTTGCTTTTACATTTTTCTGTGTTTCAGGATGATTCTCTCCGTTTTCTCCTTTTCCTGTATCACATGCCCATGTGTAGTCATTCAGACTGAACTGGTCTTCTGGAGACCCTAACATCATGAGTAGTTGACTTCTAGCTTTTTCCTTTCTGTCTGTATGTTCTCCTAGGGGAGATGTTTGGTTCCTAAGGAAAGTTCTTCACCTACAGGAAAGATCTCACCCACTGTGTATCGATTTTATAATTTTAAAGCAACTTTCCAGGTGCTGTTGTTGGCAATTCCTCCTACAAACACATTCAAAGAACCTTCCATGGGGTTTTTTCAAGAATTCATTTGTTCATTCACTTGCTCACACCATATCTATTAAGCCCCTTCATGCCAGAGAGCATTGGGCTTTTGAAAATGAGCATTAGGGCTCAAATTACTTAGCTCAGTGCTAAGTTATATTATCGATGAGTTTTAGATGGTGATGGATAAGCTGAAGACGTATCTTCTCATGTCTAAATATGAAAGTCTGGTTTGTGTTTATTTTTTATCCTCTGACTGGTTAGGAATTGTGAAGGTGAAAGGGGGCATAGTCCTGGAGTCATTTTTCCTGAAGGGACATCAAATGATTTAAGTTCAAAATCAATTCACAAGGACATAATACATGACAGCCACAGGTATACCCTAATATGTTCCTCAAGATCCCCATTATGCCTCCAAAGATACTACATTAGTATATATCTAGTAATCCAGCTCACTAAGCGAATATAGTATAACTTCCTGTTCCCAATTCACAGCATTAAGCACCTTCTGGATGTTATTCAGAAATCTCCCTCCAGTGAAAGGTGCTAAGAGAGCAG